TGCTTCTTTGGGCGTCCCTGAGTTGTCTCTCCTTACCTGTATCCCTGGGGCTGACAGCTCTTCTGTCTGGGTTCAAGGCTTTTATCCCCTTTCTCCTGCTCTTCCGGCCTGCTACTCTGGGCGGGCCTGAGTTTCCCCTCCTCACCTAATCCCTTCGGCTGATTGTTCTTCTGTCTGGGTTCATTATCATGTCCGGGTACATAATATTATCCAATATTTTTTTTTGTTGTTGTTAGTTGCCGTCAAGTGATTCCAACTCACGTGTGCAGTCATACTGCTCCGCAGGGTTTTCAAGGCTGTGACCTTTCAGAAGCGCATCACCAGGCCTGTTCACCAAGGTGCCTCTGGATGGGTTTGAACCACCAATTTCAGCCACTACTTGAACACTTAATGATTTATGCCACCCAGGGACTCCTTGACCAATATTTTAGTTCTTCCTTTTTCTTTAAGAAAAAAGAGAGAAAAGAAACCTATTTTTACAGAGAATTTCCAATGTACAGAAAAATAGAAATCATAGTATAATGAATTCCTAGGTACTCCATTACCCAGACCCAACAATCATCAATCTATAGCCAAGATTGACCAGTTGACATCCATCTCATCCCTTCCACATTATTTTGAAGTCAATCCCAGATATTATTTCATCCATAAATATTTGATATATATCTCAAAAATATAGAGCTCTTTTAAAAAATATAACCTCAAACAAACGAATAATTCTTTAATGTCTTCAAATATTAAGTTATGCATAAATTTCCAATTGTTTCATAGATGTCATTCTTATTTTAGAGTTTGTTTGAATTAAAAACCAAATAAGGTCTATATGTTGCAATTAAGTTATATATCTTTAAATCATTTAACCTAGAACTTCCCCTTTCATCTTTCTCTCTTTGTCTCTCTTTCTTTTTTCCCTCCTTGCAATGTATTTGTTGAGAAAACTGGATTGTTTCGACCGTAGAGTTTCCCACAGTCTGGATTTTTCTGATTGCATGTCTGTGGTGTAATTTAACATGTTCCTCTCTCTTCATATTTTCTATAAATTGGCAGTTGGTTCTAGGAACATGATCAGAGTTAGGTTTTCCTTTCTTCTTAACCTGACCAATTAAGCATTATTATGTACTATCATCATTGTTTCTTCACTGGCAATGTTGGTTTGGCTTCTGAATCATTTTTACCATTTTATATGCTCACTTTCCCTTCTTATTTTGGATCATTTTCCTTTGTTGTTGTTGTTGTTGTTTAGTGAGGTTTAAAAAAGTTTCTTAGTAGTAAACTCTCAGTTTTTACTTACTTGAATTGTCTTTATTTCATTCTTATTCTTGAAAGACATTTTGCTAGGGAGACAATTCTAGTTAGTGAGTTAGTTATTGTAGATAGCTGTTTTTCTTCCAGAGCTAAGAAGATATTACTCTATTTTGGGTATTCATTGCTGCTGTTGAAAAGTCTCCTTTCATTTTAATTGTCATTCCAGTGTAGGTACCTGTCCTTTCTCTCTGGCTACTTTATTTTTATCTTGCTCTATGGCACTCTCACTGATGATGTGTACTTAGGCATGGATTTCTTTCTGTTTTAATCCCCTTGGGTTATGTGATGCTTATTATATCTATGGAGCTGTGTTTTTCAGCAGTTCTGGAAATTTTACAACCATTCTCTCTTTCTGTGTGGCCTGTCTTTCAATTTCTTGCTTCTTTCTTTGTGGGCTTCCTGATAGACCTCTGTTATATCAGGTCATTTTAGTTAAATATCTCTTCAGTTCTTTTTTTATATTTTTCATCTCCTTTTCTCTCTGTGCTGCATTCTGAGTAATTTCTTCACCAAAATATTCTAGTTCATTGTTTCTCTTTTAAGACATGTCTATTTAATTCATCAACTGAGTTTTTTACTTCGGTAATTATATATTTTCATTTCTAGGCATTCTGCTTGTCTTTTTTTTTTTTCTCCCCCCAAGAACCATTAGTTCATTCCTAATTAAACTATGTAATCTTTTTATTAAAAAAAACACAATTTTTGTGATTTCTTAAGCAATTCACACATAATTATATTATGTACTGCATCAGAAAATCCCAATATTGCACTCTTTGGAAACTATATCTGGTTTTTATTATTTGTTTTGACTCTCAGTCTTGGTGAGTTATCTTCTCGTGTATTTATTGATACTTGTAGCTTATTGCTTAAGTTTAATCTGTGGGAGTTCAATGAGCCTAAATTGGTGAGTGGGGAAACTTGCCTCCAGAGAGAATTTGCTTCTGCTGGTAGCCAGCCTAAGACTATTTCAGCTTCCCCTGGAGGAGCTCAGGTTAGTATGGGCTCTCCTTCCTGAAGTGATGTCTCAAACTCTAATTTATGTGACTATTTCTGGGGAAAACTTAGTCTAAATTTATTTTTATCCAAAGGAGAGTTTTGTGGAAAAATACCTTTTTTTATTTTTTACTACTGGTGTTCATACATATGGAATCCATTTGTGACACAAGAGGTACTTAATAAGTGAGATTTGACAGCTGGAAAAGAAAACCAGCAATATCTGAGACCATGTATTATTTTTATAAAAATATCTAAAAATTAACTATGCATGCTTTTTAATTATTTTTTCTATATTTCACAGAATTTCGTACTGGAAAAACCCAACTCTCTCATACCCTTTGTGGTAAGGACACATAACAGCAAAAATAATACTTATAACAGCAATAATTACAGCTGTCTTTTACCAAACATCTGCTTGTGTCTGGTACTTCATATAACTCATGTGATCTGAGCAAACTTTCAAGGAAACTAAAGTTCAGAAAGGTTAAGTAAACTGTCCACGGATACACAGATAACAAAGCTAATCTTTGAGTTTGTGATGTTGGAGATGATGTTGTGTATGCTGGACTCCGAACACCTGAATGGAAATAGGGAGAGGGGCGAGGTATGAGTATATGCTTGTGTTGGAGGGGAGAGGGATTCATCGTCTCAATTTTTCCCGTTCCTTCTTTTCTATATCTTTTTACAAGAATGCCATACAATCTATTGAGGCCTTGAATCCCTTACTTTCCATGGAGTAAAATTGGCACTAAGAACAACTTAAAAACAAATTTTTCTAAACCAAATAAACAAAAATATCTCCTTTTCCACAGAGAAGGTTGTCTGCATTTCTTTGAACCAAGTAGAGGAGTAGGGCAATATGGTTAAGGAGGAGATTCTGGAATCAAAATGCCTGGTTCCAGTGTTGGCTCTACCATGAATACCTGAGTGACCTTGGGCAAGTGGCTTCACCTCTATAATTTTTCCCATCAGCAAAACAGGATTAGTAATAATGCCAAGTCTTAGAGTTGTTTTGAAAAGTCAATGAAATTATGAATGTACCTGGTACAAAGTAACTCCTTAGTAAAGTCTTCATGTTTCTTTAAATATGACATACATTGATAGGTTACTTAAATGACTTATATAGCATAAACTATATTTGTGATTTTTTTACAGGCAGAAAGTAATATTTAAATTCTACTTCCATTCCTTGGAAGAACAACTTTTCATGAATATCTTTCATTGTGAGAGATATTGAAATCCTTTGTTGAATTACTATTATGCTGGCAGAACACTTAAATTTTCACCACTGAAATATATGAAAATAGAGCATGATGTTTTGAAACTAAAGGATCATGATTCTTTGCTAAATTTACTAAAGAGTAGCAACATGCACAAATCCCATGTTAATTTATATATTCATTTGTACAGAGTTTATTCACTTCTATTACTGTTAATTACTTTTTAAATTGCTCTCTAGTGACAGCCCAACTTCCAGGAGCAGGTGGCTACCAAGGAGGGAAGATTATCTTCATTGATACAGAAAATACTTTGTAACCTTTTTATTTAAACAAGTTGCAGTACAGTAGTGAATTAGTAATGTTACTACAAAGGAGAGTTTGTTTGAAATATATCATTCTTGTAACCTTCCCATAAACCAACAATAATGAGGAAAGACAAAGGGAAAACACTTGCTGGTCAAGTTCTCAAATCGCTTTTATTTAATAAGGTTTCATTTTTTGAACAGGGCTTTGCGTAAAATTGACAAAATGATATATAAAATTAAATTATTCTTATTTCTTAATGTTGCTGTTAAGTGCCCTCGAGTCGCTTCCGACTTATAGTGACCCTGTGTATAACAATGAAACACTGCCCTGGTCTTGCACCATCCTCACAATTGCTGCTAAATATACCTTATTGCAATATATGCTTTATATTTGAGGGCAAGAAGCCCCGGTAGTGCTCAGCTGCCAATCAAAAGGTTGGAGGTTTGAATCCGCCCAGTGGCTCCGAGAGAGAAAGGTCTGGTGATCTGTTTCCATAAAGAGTACAGACTAGAAAACCCTATGGAGCAGTTCTACCCTGTCACGTGGGATCACTGTGAGTCACAAATTGACTCGAAGGCATCCAACAACAACAACATATTTTAAAGTGTTTTACATTTACTTAATATTTATGCAGGAGGTACAGAGAGTTGCCATATGCTCCCTCCCCACAACACAGTGTTTCTCCTGACATCTTGCTTTCTTGTGGTGCATTTGTTATAACTGATGAACCAACATTGATACATTATTATTTTTTGAAGTCTGCAGTTCACATTATAGTTCACTCTTTGTATTATAAAGTCCTCCAGGTTTTGACAAATACTTAATGTCAAGTGTCTACCATTACAGTATCATGCAGATTAATTTCACTGCCCTAAAAATGCCTTGTGCTTCACTTATTCCTGATTTACCATACCCTATAAAACCTGGGTAACATTGATTGTTTTATTGTGTCTATAGCTTTGCCTTTTCCAGAATGTCCAATGGTTAGAATCATGCAGTATGTGGTTTTTTTCAAACTGGCTTCTTTTACTTAGCAGTATACATTTAAAGTTCCTCCATATTTTAGTTATCTTCAATTCTCTTAATTATCCAAAGATTTTGCCTAACAGTTAGACTTTTTTTCTTACTGAAATTCATTGTCCCCCCAAAAAAGGGAAGTATGAAAGAAACAGTAAAAGCACAGAAGAGAAATAGACAGAAACTGTTTAGATAACAGAATTGCAGTTTAAGTGAAGTATAAGGTATTCCGAGAATGCAAGGCTGGAAAGGTGGTTTGGGTCTTAGACACGAAAGGCTTTGAAACCAGAGGAGGGTGCAAATGGAATACTTTTGCAATATTCTGGACAAGTAATGAGAACCTGATCTAGGTGGGAAGCAGGAGGAAAAAGGACAAGAAATATTAGGGTGGAAAGCTGAGAGGACGTGATTGTATTTGGTAGACTAGGGAGAGATGTGAGAAACCACGGTCAGGTTTTTTTGTCTAGATCGATACTGGGAGAATAGTGATGCTAATGACAGGATCAGGAAGTTCCTGTTTCAGAGAAAAGGTGCTATTTCATTTTAATATGTTGAGTTTGAGGTATAGGAGGACATCCAGATGGCAGCTGAAAATGTTGGACTCAGGTTGAGAAAGGGTATGTCCATAGAAATGGATGAAATAGTCAAGGGAGGAAGAGAGCTTACTAGGAAAGAAGAGATGAGAACTGAGAACATACTTTGGGGTATCCTGTGTTTAAGAAGACAGAACAAAAAAAGGAACTCACAGAGGCAGAAGAAGCAGGACATCATGTCATGGAAGACAAGCAAAAGAAAACCTTCAAGAAGAAAAAAATGGTCAGCATAGAGAGCAATGTTGAAGGTCTGAAGGTACAATCTGAGAAACATCACTGAAGTTGGAAATTAAAAGTTCAAGAGAATGAGTTCTGGTAAGGTGGTGGAATAGGCAGACAAACTGCACAGACCCTCTTCAACAAAGAAACCAAACCAAACTCACTGCTGTTGAGTCAGATCTGACTCATAGCGACCCCTCCTTGGGTTTCCAAGGTGGTATCACTACAGAAGTAGATTGCCCAACCTTCCTTGCGAGGAGTGGCTGGTGTTAAGAAAGAAAAGAGAAACCAATTAACACAGATACAGAAGATAATCCTGGAGTTCTGTGCTTTGAAAGGAAGGATACAGAAGTGGACTAAACTCCAACTAGTAGAAGAACTTGCCTGAAAACACCAAAAAAGGAGACATACGGAGCTGTGGTCTGTCAGCGATCCTGACAGCACGGACAGCTTGGATATTGCCAAGTGGTGTTAGGACCTAAGAATTAACCTAAAAATTGGCCCTGCTAGCCAGGGCCACACAGAGTACTGCACTGGTGGCGGGTGAATAAAAGGGGAAGCAGAGAAGAGGAAGGCAGGCTGAGCTGTGCACTTTGGCTGTCCAGAGGGCGCAGCCATTTTGAATGTTTACAAGCAGTTCCACCATTTTGGATATTTAAAGTGACAGCATTCTCTCGGATAACAGGCTAAGAATAGGCTCCACTTGCTGGGGACGGCAAGGACATACTGGACACGAACCACTAGAAAGGTGCGATATTCCCATTGTTACTTTTATACCCCACACCCTCTTGGTGATCAAAGATGCAGCCATCCCTCACTTCCACCCACCTTCTGGGCTGGCAGAATTCCATCCCAGTGGATTTCTGTGTGCTCTAGTGGAGCTTGGGGGCTCTGCCCAACCCAGATTTTTTTTTCTTTTCTTTTTTTTAAGTTTGTTTTTGTTGGTTTCAGAATTATTATTATTATTTTTATTCTTTTTATGGTTATTTTTCCTTCCCTTCCCAGATTCTAGTGTTCAGCTTTTTCTCTCTTCCCTGTTCCTGGTTCCCATTTTTTTCTTTCTTGTGGTTCTCCCCATTCCTTGGTTTTCTGTTAGCATTTTTTCTCATTTTTTTCTTCATTATTCTCCTAGTCTACTTCTTTTCACTTATTCCCTCCTCCCCAGATATTGAAGAGTTGGGTTGTTTTTCTTTTTCTTTTTTTTCCCCTTTTCTATGAACTTTTTTTTTTTTTTTGCTTTTTAAAGTATTTCTTTAAATATTTTCTCTCATTTATTGCCTTTCTCTCTCTCTCTCTCTGGTTATTGTTCCTGCGTTTATGCAGTGTGTTTTTTGTCTGCTTGCTTTTACTTTTTTGACGGTCTTTCTGTTGTTGTTTTTGTCTAATTGAGTGGAAGACAGCAACCATGCTCATACAACGACCACAACCACTCCTCCTGCAACTCCACTTACTGAGTGAGAGCCACCACTTCCTTCTGCACAAACTGGCCAAAAAATAATACACAACCACCAATAAGATCCTGATTCACCCTTAATTTCTCTTCACAAACAGTTAACAGAGATCTGTGCAGCCACTCTCATTCTCTATCACATCCATCAGGAGAAAGGTGGTGAGTGCCTAAATTAATTAATAGATTAATTCATAATTAATGAATAGGGGAGCACCGTACCCTGCTTTCTCAGATACATCCAACAAAGAAAATGAAAATCTTGGGCAAATCACTCCAACATACAATTAACAATTAAATATAAATACAACAAAGTCACAATGTCTTAGAGGCAACAGACTATCACAGTCCACACAAAGAAGCAAGATAAAGCAGTAGAAACAAGGGAACAGGATACAGACCCAGATCATATCCCTGAGGAAGAAGCAGTATTGGAACTCCCTGATAAAGAATTCAAAAGAATTATACTTAGGTACCTTCAATGGATTGAGAGACAAATCAAGGAAAACACTGACAAAATTAAGGAAAACACAGACAAAACCCTAGAACAATTTCAGAAGAAAATACAATGACAAAATGCCAAACTAAATGAAAACTTAGAAATGGTACAAAATCTACAGATAGAAATCCAGAAGATGAATACTAAGTTTTCAGAAATAGATAATACTTTGAAAGGGCAAAGAAGTAGAATTGAATCAATGGAAGACAGAATTAATGAGCCTGAAGATAAATACCTGACTATGTCTTTGGAAAGGGGTCAATCAGAAAAAAAGATAAAAACAAAATGAACAAAGCCTAAGATTCATGTGGGATACCATCAAAAGGAATAACTTATGCGTAATCAGAATTCCAGAACAGGAAGAGAAAAATAAAACCACTGAGAAAATTGTTGAAGATTTGTTGGAAGAGAACTTTCCTGATATGATGAAAGATGAGAATATATCCATTCAGGAAGTCCAATGAATCCCAAACAGGATAGACCCCAAAATAAAATCACCAAGACATATCATCATCAAACTCACTAAAACCAAAGACAAAGAAAGAATCCTAAGAGCAGCACAGGAAAAACGAAAAGTTACCTACAAAGGGCAACCAATAAGACTAAATTCTGATTTCTCAGCAGAAACCCTGCAAGCGAGATAGCAATGAGATGCTATATATAAAACCCTGAAAGAAAAAAATTTCCAACCAAGAATTATATACCCAGCAAAATTGTCCCTCAAATCTGATGGTAAAATTAGGAGATTTCCAGATAAGCAGAAATTAAGGGAATTTGTTAAAACCAGACCGACCTTACAAGAGATACTAAATGGAGTCCTTTGAACAGAAAACCAATAATGGAGAACAACAACTGACCATCAATACACAAGATGACATAACCCAGAAACCAACATAGCTATGGAAGTATCCAAAGTAAAACAAGCTTACAAGATTGTAAACAGACTTTAACAGAATTGTATAGATGAATAGATAACTCCATAGTCATAGAGACTTTAATACACCACTTTCAATGAAAGATAGAACTGGAAAGAAACTCAACAAAGATGCAGAAGAACTAAACAAAACAATCCACCAACTTGACCTTATAGACATCTACAGAGCACTTCACCCAAGAACAGCACAATATACATTCTTCTCCAGTGCACATGGAACATTATCCATGATAGACCATATATTAGGCCATAAAGCAAGATTAAACAAATATAAAAACATTGAAATACTGCAAAGCA